TAGTCACTAATTTCATTTTACCACGAAGTTCAATCATTTTGCAGGGGCAGAGCTCGAAGACTCATCACCGTCCTAGGACAGCCCAACCACACTAAAGGCCAGTGGAAACTACTGAAGATGTTAAAAATCAAACTGAAATTGGACACAGCATTAAACAAGAACTTTTCCCAGTGTGGTAACCAGGTCTAGTTTACCACTACTTTATTAATAGGGGTTTTAACCCTGATCTAATTAAAATCCCTGATAAAGTTAGTAGCTAGGAATGGCTAAATTTGAGGACCAGCTATAAACTAGAGTGAATGTAGGCATTTCCCAGTTCTCCGCCAGTGGTTGCCAGTATTTCGGGAGCAATAGGCCAGAAGCAGAGCTGTAAATCTGAGTCTTTCTATTTTGTGAAAAAGGGCACATTACCTGTCCACATTCCTCTGACATCCAGTACACACTTTCCCAAACTGGACCTCATTCATGCACAGTCAGAAATCTCACTTATATTTTTGGCTTTCAAAATGAGCCTGCAAACCAGACTGGAAGAAGAGGCTAATGAACTGGAAGCAAGGCGGGCTGCTCTAAGACTGCATTTTCTCAGCCAGGTTGACATGAGCCCGATGAACATTGCAGTGGAGCAGCCTCCTCACAGAACCTTTCACAGAAAACACATGCAAGGCTACTGTTAAGCGCATCACCCATACACCAGACCTGAGTTTCACAAATTTGAGACTGAAACTTGCATTTTTTCCCACTTCACACTCTCATCCCATCTCTGTATTCACAATACAGTGCAATAACCCATCTGCCGCTCTCTGGGATCCTGCGTTTCAGATCCAGAGAGCCTGTGGCTCACATATCACTCTACATGACATCTGTGCAAAGTCATGAAAGTGAGAAAAGCTGTAGACTGTCACTGTCCTATGACTCACCATGACAGATGTGGAATGCCATGAGCTGAAACAGGAGGGGGTTTCAGTGTTGGGCTCTCTTCAGTGCTATTGTTCTTCATTCATCAGCTCCTGCTGAAACCACTGTAAGATAATCACAGTAGGACTGACAGTTCTTGCTCAGGGAATCAAGATGCTAAACCACAGGCTAGGCTGAATAGTGAATTAATTGCACGTAGATTAAAGACAAAAAAAAAAAAAAAGAGAAAACAGCTAAAAAATAAGTTGTAAATAATGCAGCAAACCTCTCAGTGACAGCTCTTGCCAATAAAAAGCAATAAGGCTAAGTGATTTCACAAAATCACTTAGTTTGCCCAGCACAGCCAAGACCACCACTAAACCACGCCCCTCAGTGCCACATCTACACATCTTCTCAATAGCTGCAGGGGTGGTGGTTCTGCTGCTTCCCTGGGCAGCCTGTTCCAATGCTCGACAACCCTTTTGGTGAAGAAACTTTTCCTAATGCCAAATCTAAACCTCCTCTCGTGCAACTTGAGGTTGTTTTCCCTTATCCTGTCCCTTGCTGGCTGGGAGAAGAGATCAACCCCCATCTCATTCCATCCTCCTGTCAAGCAGTTGTAGATATCAATGAGGTCCCCCTTGAGCCTTCTCTTCTCCAGACTAAACCCCCCCAAGGTCCCTCAGCCATTTCCCATCACACTAGTGCTCCAGGCCCCGCTCCAGCACCTCAGTGTCTCTCTTGTAGTGAGGGAACCAGAACTGAACACAGGGTTCAAACTATGGCCCCCACCAGTGCTGGGTGCAGGGGGACAATCACTGCCCTGGTCCTCCTGGCCACACTATTGCTGATACAGGCCAGGATGCTGGTGGCCTTCTTAGCCACCTTCAATAGGAATCAGACACCTGTAGAAAAATTAACAGGGAATAAGGATATGAGATAACAATATATATTTGATGACCCCTGTTTAGGAAGAGCCTGCTTAGCTGTACTTAAATAGCTACAGTGCACAGAAGCAGCTGAACAAAAATATCTAACCCCCTCGTGTTAACACTGCCAATTCCCAAACCAGACTGTCAACAGGCACTGGGCACAGTGTTTCTGCTGCAGTCAGCACTAAACCACAACTACACTGCAGACAGTGGAAGGAACAGAAATTCTGCCAATGGTTTTATTAGTATCTGTGTTTGATCATCCTCTTCAACCAATAAGACAGAAGACCTAGCAGGATATATTCCAAATATAAATTTTGTATTTTATCACCTCAAACCATGTTTCACACAAATTCCCACACTGTTATTTTGCTGAAACTACTATATTTTCAGCAGTAAATCAGACTTTTGAGAGTCTGATCAATGACCATGCTCTGCAAAAGCAGTCACTCGACAGTTCCTCCTCACAGTGATGCTCTAGCATCCTTACCTTTGCAATGAAGATGAACTGTTTCAGACCTGGTCATGCTGCTAGTGTCTGGACACTTCCATCAAGATTCATAGACAAGTCAGGATAGCAGATCAGGACATTCTTTCTTTCTCTTTATCCTCATTACAGATCGCTTGCAGAATTCATATGTTTAATGGGTAGAAAAATCTGTGTGTATATATATATATATATATATATATATAAACATACACACAATTTTCCTTGGAAAGACTGGAGGGTTTATTGTTGTTGGAGCTCTTAGGAAGCCTAGTAAATGTTCGGCTCAGGGGCAGCAGCTCCTGAGTTTCAGAAAGTGTTTCTAGTGAGAGATTCTGCGTGTAAAACTGTGCCTGGAGAGCCCAATGCAAAATCTGGAGTTTAAACTCTACCCCTCTGGCATCTGCTGGAAGTGAAGCAGGTTTGTGCACAAGCAACGCAGGAGATTTATGGAGACCATCAGGGCCAACTTCTTGACACAAGTATCAATGAGTCAACTAAGGGAGATGCTGCTGGATCTATTACTCAAAAAGAAACCTCCAAAACTGTTCAGAGATGGAAAGGTGGAGGCAGTCTTTCCTCCAGAGACTGTAACATGTAAGGTCCTTGCCTGCCTACACAGCGAAGCAGCCAAACTTTATCCAGAGCTGTACCAACAAAAGCAGATTACCTTGTTTGGTACTTTAACAACACCTGCACCGTTTTCACTCCCCAGTATAATAATGACACCGACATACCTGAAAGCATCCATTTGAGTGCAGAGGACCAAGATGATGAGGGAACTGAAGCACAGAGACTAAACTTGGGTTTATACAACCTAGAGAAAAGTAAATGGGAATTTATTGCTGCCTATGACTACCTAATGCAAGCCTGTAATGAAGAAGGAAGTAGATACTTCTCAGAGGAATAAAATGAAAAGCAATGAACATAGGCTGAAGCATAGGAAGCTCCAGTTAAATGGACAGAAAAATATTTTCATCTAGAATGTGGTCAAATATTGGGAGACAAGCCTAAGGAGGTTTGTGATCTCGGTCTCCAGAGACAACCAAAACTCACACGGGCGAGCTGATCTCCAACCTGATATAATTGGCCCTGGTATGAGAACAGGGAAGAACCAGAGATTTCCAGGTAGTCATTCCAACTAAATTATTCTATGAATTCCTGATCCAAGTCCAACAGCAGAATTACAACCCTGTATTTCAGAATAGCAGATGTTCAGCTGAGAAACAGGTGTAGAGAAGCCAAAGCCCAGCTCTGGAAACTAATGAACAACAACACCCAGTCCTTGTTTCTATTGCATTTGCTTTACAATGACATTTTGTCATCATTGTGCTCTGTGACAGAAGGTGACCACCACCTACATTTAGATGTGTACTACAACTGTGTATAGCTCAGTGTATATGTGCAAGTTTAAAAGATAATCCTCACCACTGATTATGGAATCATTTATAGCAGCTTTGTGGGACCCAAATTCAAACTGTTACTTTTTAGAGGTCAACACAAAACAAAGCAATGAAAAAATGCCGCATCCAGATTAACATCTTGTGTACTAATCCTTCTTTTTCTTCCTCCAGCAGTTCATACTCTACACCATCAGTTTTAATTGCTGACATCACACCTGGTACTTGAATGAATGAATTTCAGAGCACTTGAAGCATGCTTTATCATACCAAACCTGTCATCTTCTTGCATCTGGAAACAGAGGTAGCCTCCTGTATATTACTCGCTGCTGAACAGTGTCAAGAGAGGACTTTCATTATGTATTGAGATAAGCATGTGGTGAGAGGGAGAAGAGTGTTTTTCCTGTAAGATTCAACCCCTCAAATATTTAAGTAACCTGAGGAGTAGTTTTTCCCAGCTCACGTATGATACCACAGCACTGGCTTTTGCCTTGAGGAAACCCCATGTAGACACATTACCCATTTTCAGTAGCTTCAGAATCATACAGAGCATCCAAAAGCATCTCGCTACACACACCATACAGAGCAAGCCCAAAGCATCTCGCTATACAAACCATACACAGCAAGCCCAAAGCATCTCACTGTACAAACCAAATCAGGCCACAGTCAGATCTTTAATAAAAGCACTTTTGAGTCAGTGACAAACAAGATACAGCAGACATGACAACTCAAAAAAAATCAAGTTGGGGGTAGAAGTGTGCTGCTGGTGTTTCCAGAGGATTGAACAAGGTCCCTAAACCTAACCATCCCCTCAGTGGCTTCTCAGCCATTCACAACACACTAGAAGGCTGCTAAAAAAAGTCACTCTTGCCTCTTCAAGTTGGTATGGAAGAAGCATAGAAGGTCAGTATCCTAACAAAAACTGATGGAGTAAATTAACCAGAAAAAAACCCCAAAACCTCCAATTCTAATCTCAGAGTAGGAGATTAAGTTGATTTGACAGGAGACAAACAACGTACACTCCTCCTTACTTCCTCCAGATTCACAACACACACTTCAGTTAGGGCACCCTTGTGGAGAGAACCCAGACACTGACAGCCTCCTAATGTTAGGGATGCACCTAATTCAAGCAGGGCATGTCAGAAAGCATCTCCCTCTAGAAACCGTTCCCTGTCTTACTGGTTGGCCACTCTAGAGGCTGTCACATATTTGACAAGACTACACATTTTCATTTAGCAATCTTCTGTCCTGCTCCCCATACTGGGATACTAAAAGCTAATAAAAAGCCAATAACATTAGCCAAGTAACCAATTCAATTCCAAGAGTCAGAGTGATCCTCTTAAACAAACAAGGCCCTGAAGCTCCTTTGGTGAGGGGAGAAGTTCTGAAGCACTGGGAGGATAACGGCAAAGGACTTGTTCTCAGAAGCCCAGCACAAACAAGCTTTGGAAGGTTGTATCTCTGCTTTGGTCTTTGGGTAGTGCCACCTGCTCAGTATCTGTAGTGGTCTGGCTTGAATGGCCCATCTCTTGATAAGCCTAGGTATTTGGCCTGTTTGTCACTCAGCTTTGTCAGCTTCACACATAGTTTATCCAGATGAGCAGCCGCCACAGCTTCATCCAGCTGGAAAACAAACATTGAGGTGAGAATTTCAGCAGAGTAAGTTAGTTCAGGAAATCACGGTAAATAGTAAGACAAGAATGTGAAAAACACGTAACAGCTACATGGAGGACTTTGACTGACACAGATGAACAGTCAGACAGCTCTTTTCTGGCCAACATACCTCACCTGCTTAAGCACAGAGGTATCTGCTTTCACCACAGAACTGCATTTAGACGGAAAAGACCCAAGATTTTGAGGGAGTAAAGTTAAGCTTAAAATGAGACAGAGGACTCAATTAAGTCCATTTCCATCTTATTAACACAATCCCATCCATCCAACAAGTAAAGAACACAGATAATGTGTTCAGAGACTAGAATATTCGGTTGGGTAGAATAGTAAAGCCCCAGTCAATTTCCACTATGAAGGCACCTCAACACACCAGGCTATCATCTTACAGTTTCAAATAATTTTAGAGAAGGACATGGGGGTGTTGGTTGACCAGAAGCTCCCAATGACCCGGCTTCAGTGTGTGCTTGAGCCCAGAGCCCCCACATGTGCTGGGCTGCACCCCCAGAGCATGAGCAGCATCTTAGAGAGGGAACAGCCCCAGGTCAAGCCAAAAAGGGACTGGACGCTCCTATCGCAGGACAGGTAAGTCCCAGTTCTGCACAACACGTAAGCCACAGAAACCAGCCCACTTCAGACTCAGCAACACAAAGCCAAGCATCTGCAAACTGACAAAAGCTCCTTGCAATAGCATTCAGTAGGAAAATGAACTCATGGACAAACAAAACAAATGTACGTGATCACATCTGAAGTTGATTTCCTTGCAAGCTTGCATCTTCCTGGTATTCTAACTCACCTTCTTTGGCAGGAAATGGACTCCAACAGCATATTTGTCACTATTGGTCCATAGCTCGATCTGTGCCAGCACCTGGTTGGTGAAGGAGTTGCTCATAACAAAGCTGGGGTGACCCATGGCACAGCCCAAGTTAACCAGTCGACCCTCTGCTAGCAGTATAATGTGGCGGCCATTCCTCAGTGTGTAACGATCCACCTGGGTGGGAAAACACAAGAGCAGTGCTAGGTCAGGGTAAAGAGAGCATTTTAAATCATGCAAAGCTTTGTGGGCTTTCTTGCAATACAGACTTTGATAAAATTGAGACATCCCCTTTCTCAATTCCTCACCAATGTTTGTGAAGCTCACAGCTATTCTGGACTTTGCACATGAATTTTAGCATCTGCTTTTGACATTGAACCAGTTACCTAGTTCAGGGGGCTTTTCCACATATGCATTGTCTCAGATGGTTGTGGTGGGAAGCATGCTGCTAGCAGTAAAATACAGCTCATATATGCCTAATTGTAACAAATGGTGTGGAAAGACAGGAGACAATAGGGAACACCTCTCCATCAAACAGTCCAGAGCCTTTGCACCTCACACAGGGGTAAAAGCCAGACTCCTCAGCCTGCTGAAACAGGCTCCCATGTAACCCTTCCCACTCTCAAAAGGCCAATGCTCTACAGTGTAACCAGCAGCTCTCCTAGCTTCTGCTGCATCCCCCTTTTTGCTGTCAGGGGGCCAAATATATAGTCCTCCATTCAGACTGATTTCCAGGCTATGTTGGGGACAACAGGACTCTGCACATAGAATCAAGTCTCAGATGAGCTAAGGAGAAGGGTCTCAGCTATATAACAGCCTCACACAATTCAGGACATAACGTCACCTCATATATGCCTCAGTTGTCTGGGCCAGATTAGGCTCCTGCAATGTTAAAGTTACCTCTACTTCTCATTTGTACCAGTCGCTAGCTATTCTCTCCCTTGTCTTCACTCCTGTAGGAGGTTACAATATTAAAGTCCAGAATCAAGCATCAATATGGACTATAAGTTACAAGAAAATTCAGTACTCATTGGTATTTATTGGTCATGTTACACCAACCACAAGGGAGTAAAGCAAACCTTTGGAAAGACTTAAGAGCTAGTCACCAACCAACCTTGGACAATGGTTAATGCTTTAGACTGCTTACGCTGTCATAACAGAGCAACTATGAAATACTTAAAACGGTTCCTCCCCACAGCTGTATTTATACTTTTAGTCTTATTAAAGTTATTTAATGTGAAGCAAACCACCCAGCACTCAATTTTAGTCTTAAAGCTTTGGCCTATAAGTTAAAAGCCATGTGGGATGAAGCTTTAATTGTAACAGTACTGTCTTCTGAAAAGCCCATCTTTCTGCAGGTCCTTAGCAGAGATGTAATGAGTAAACCAACAGAAATAATTTTACTGAACAGGTATTTTGCCTTCAGAGCAGGTCTGTGCCTCCACCTGTCCTCCCCAATAATGTTTCAATCACAGCACTGTTCCTATTTCTTGGGTTCATAACACAAATCGGTCTTTGAGCATAGATGCTGACAGTAAGCACCCCAAACAGAAGCCCTAAACAATACTCTTACTTTCTCCTGTCCAAGGGCAGGACAGCAAGGTAGGGTTAGTAAGAACTCTCTCCACTGAGCAGCTGCAGTATTTCTTATGGATGCTGATTCCTCACTGTGGGTCATCAGTGACAGTGCTCAGTCCATCCAAAAAATACCATATGGGTTACTGTAAGATTACGAGAGGAAGAAATGAAACAAAGAAGGAAGCGCTCATAAGGAAGAACACTAAAAAACCTCAGAACAGCTACAAGATTATATACAAAATTTTACTTACAAGGTAGCAGTTGAGTACCTTTTCAATTTTAAATTCTGGGTGCTTTAGATGTCAAAATGTTATACCCATATAATATCCACACAACTTGCACCTGGCCAGCTGCTCTCTTGGGCAGAGAATTGCATACCTTCAGCAGCTCCTGACATGACTCAATCAATGCACAGGGTAACATAGAAAATGCAAATTAATGTATTCCTTCAGAAATAAATACCAAATAGCAGTGGTATCACCAGAGGCTTAAGTCAGAACTGTGGAAACACATCTTATCTATGGACAGATAAACAGGCTGATTCATAAGCTCAAGGAATTGCTGTGGAAATAGAATTCAAGTTATCCAGCATTAAGTTCATCTCCACACTTACACAAATGCCTCCTCCCTTTCCCCACCAGCATTTAGCTGCTCTGGACCTCCTGGCTGCTTTGCACTTCCCTCCACATCATGATACAAATAATTTCTTTTCAAAGGCAAAGTTCATTGATCCCACCCAGACGCTTCCTTTCCCTCTAGAGCTGAGCTTGCACTACACATCAGTTTCTAATACCAGAGCACAGCTGCAGAGGGCTGCAGTGCAAAACTATATTCAAAACAACCTGCCAGCTCTTCAGCATTATTTCCTCCTTAACTGTAATTTGAAAGAAACAGATGAGTCAGAACGGCACAGTGTTTTCCTTTCCCAAGTACTAAACACTTCTTACACCAGCTCACTGCTTGTAGATGGAGACCATATGGTACTGAAAACTATCATGTGAGACACTTCCACAACTACTCTGTACCTCTAGCTGAAGTCTAGCAACCCTTAGCTCCAGTATTGATCCCCTGATCAACCAACAGATGTCTTCCCAGGAGGTCAGAGATTTTTGCTCTTGACTTACATTCCCCTCCCTGCTACAAGATACAGAAAAAAAGCTGCCAGGTCTTTAAGTATTTGGAGAGTTAGTACTTGATATTATAAAACGTAAGGTATCTCACTCAGAACACTGATGTGAAAACCACACCTGTTATTCTAAGGATAAGCACAATGTCTCACTCTTTTAACACAGGCCTAGACTCCTGTTGAGATCCCCAAAGGACTAGGGACCAGATAACCACAGAAGCATCCCTTTGATGAATCTGAGCAACAAAACTGAGAAACCAGCAATGGTCTAAGTGGCAAAGTGGAAATTCCCTTCCCAAACTTCAGTGTAAGTGCAATTCTATCAATTATTATAATGAATCTTCAACTGCTGCCCTGAGAAAGGTTTCAAGATATGCAGATGAATTCACATACAGGTGGAGAGGGACAGAAGCTGCAGGACACTGGCTGCATGGAGACCTCATAACAGCCTTCCAGTATCTGAAGGATCCTGGGGAGGGATTCTTCATTAGTGACTGCAGTGATAGGACAAGGGGTAACAGGTTAAAACATAAACAGGGGAAGTTCAGATTGGATATAAGGAGGAAGTTCTTTATTGTAAGGGTGGTGAGGCACTGGAATGTCCAGGAAAGTTGTGAATGCTCCATTCCTGGCCGTGTTCAAGGCCAGGTTGGACAGAGCCTTGGGTGACATGCTTTAGTGGGAAGTGTCCCTGCCCACGGCAGGGGGGGTTGAACTGGATGATCATAAGGTCCTTTCCAACCCTAACTAATTTATGATTCTATGATACCTCCTGGGAGCTTGTTTTGAAACCTAAAGTTAACACATGCCCTGGAAGAGTTAAACAATTGCAGCAAATTTATACTTTTAATTTGTTTCAAGCATGAAATTTGGAACCCTAAAGTCACATTTTGCCTTCCACTCCTGCTTCTTCCTCTTTTGGAAGAAGTATGCTCTTAGGATGTATATTAGTCCATTCCTGTTCAACTGCCAAGCCACCATGGCTATCAGGAACAGAGAATGAAAAAGAATACCGAAGCTTTTCCACAGCGGAACTTGTTCACGTAATACGTCCTCAGCAGGTACTTCCTCACCTTGGCATGCAGCTCTGAAGTTTTTAGGGACAACAAATCTAAACAGACACAAAATGAAGCATAGGGATATACCACTATCACAGCACATAGTATTAAGTACCCCAAAAAGAGTCCAACTGGGGACTCAGACTAGTTAGCAGTGCTTCAGATTCACTGGTCAAAGTTGGCAAAACCCAAGCACTAACCTGAATCAGACCAGCTTTTTTGGGGCTTGGCAGTGTACCCATCAACAGACCATCAGTTCAGCAAACCTTCCAACACACAGAATGGCCATAGAAGATCAGGTTCACCTCTATAGAAGTACCATCTCCAGTGGCAACCAGTAGATGAGTAAGGAAAAGTCCAAGAGGAGGCCAAGGGTAAAATGCTATTTCCCTCTGTAAATTCTCTCGGCTTCACTATGTGTGCATCAAGCAGAGGGAGAGGTGATCTAGTCAGAGCTGTGAGAGCTTTACCTTTTACAAGCTTTAGGTGATTCTTTTCAAACAGGTAGGTTTTGAGCATTAAACCACATGGATGACCTGGACCTCAATTCCACCCTTTTGAAACAGTAACGTTCTGGTTTTAACCAGAAACTTGTTACAGCTTTCATACCTCGGACTATACTGCATCTCACTGTACCCAACAAATCTGTGACATACTGGCTCCTTCAATAGAGTATATGATGAAAAAGGGACTACTACCTCTGACAATAGTGACACAATTTTTCACATGGACTTTAGGAGCCACATTGAATGGCCATATGCAAGTAGTCTGTATTTTACCACAACAGCATCCAAGTTAGACTTCAACAACATTTACTTTCTGAGCAATCCCAGTTCTAGATTTAAAATCTGAGCTTGCAGAAAGCAAGCAGCTAGCTACAGGCTCAGGGCTGCTGGGCAAAATCAGCTCCACATTAAGGTCATGAGCAAGAACAGACTTGAGCATAGTGAAAACTTGAGGGTATAACTTCATATATTCAAGTTCAGCCCACGCAGGGTGTCCCAACAGCAAACACAATCCTGAAAAAACTCTCAACTGTTTAGTAACAGTTTGATGTGGGTAGCCAATGAGCCACAGGGGAGCTATGAAAATCGGAAGGGCAGATTAAGATCTACCATGTATGCATGCTTGGGTGTGGCATTTTTAAAAAAGTAGAAAACCTGTCCCAGAATCCTGCTATCAGCAAGCACACTCCCTCCTTAAAAGTCAACTAGAAGTCCCATACCAAGACAGACAAAGCCTGGTTTGCATTATGGTATATTCTCCCTCAAAGCTGGTGTTACAAACCAGTTGTGATTTAATTTAGTTTCTCTGGTTTGACACAAAGCTGAAAAGCTGAAATTTTAGATCCCCATTTCCCTACTGTCATGATTTAAGTGCAGCTGGTAACTCGGAACCATGCAGCCACTCACTCACTCCCCCCTGCTTCCCGCCCCCACTCCCAGAGGGATGGGGAGGAGAATCAAAATCCCATGGGTTGAGATAAGAACAGTCTGGTAACTAAGGTACCATATAAAACTAATACTGCTACCACCACTAATAATAATAATAAGCAAACTAACAAGGGGAAAGAATATAAAACTAAAAGGGGAAAAGGAAAATAAAACAATAAACACAAGTGATGCACAATACAATTGCTCACCACCCACTGACTGATCTCCAGCCTGACCTGAGCATCAATCTGGGCCTTCTGGGTAACTCCCCCCAGTTTCTATACTGGACACAAACAGCTGTGGTATGGAATACCCCTTTGGTCAGCTGGGGTTAAGTGTCCTGGCTCTGCTTCCTCCTGGCTTCCTGTGCCCTTTGTCACTGGCAGAGCATAAGACTGAAAAGTCCTCGAATGAAGTAAGCATTACTTAGCAACAACTAAAAACATCGATGTGTTATCAGCATTGTGCTCAGACTGAAGTCAAAAACAGAGCACTGCACCAGCTACTAAAAAGGAGAAAAAGATGGCTGTTACACCTGAACCCAGGACACCTACGTAGCTGCAGCCATAGCTTGAATACATAGTGGAACTGCAAGCAGAGGAAGGATAACACATCTGGCCTTGTCTACCCACACGCAGACTTCTGCTCTACAGAGGATTCTAAAATGAAGCCACTTAGAAGTCTGAGTCAGGCAGAGCTGAAGATAGGCTTTCCTGAAGCTTCTGACTGAAAAATACTCTTTGAAAACAGAGGCACAAATTCCTAAGAACCTTGTCAGAACCCCAGAATTCCCCTCAGATCCACGCTAGTCCTGGCACACAGAACAAGACCAAGATTGCTCTGGTGCAGAGCACTACATGAGCAAGCAGCTTTGAGAAGAAACCAGGCAACACAAGGGCTCTTAAGTTTCATATGGACTCTATGGTCTGTTCTAGCTTGCATTATGAAACTCAGTTATGGCATTGGTTTTAGCTCAGGACTATCAAAGAAAGCACATTTCAACGTCTCCTCGACATACCCCAAATGTCAAAGCTGACTTCCTATAAGGAATCAACTTGAGGCAATTAATTGTTCACACAGCCACCACCAAGTGGTAGGCTCCTGTTTGTCAAGGAAGTAGGAACACATGGAGAAAGATGCATTCACATGCTGTGCACCTGGGCACTGGCCGGAACCAACTATAAGTTAATACCAACACAAGAACATGTCATGCAGATTGTTTTAGTTTAATCAGGGAAGAGCAGAGTACAATCCCCATTCTGATGAGCCCAGAGGAACACTGGCTTCCAAGAAAGCTAGAAACACAAAGTACCTTCACAGAAATACCTCCCTTTCTGGAAACAGACACTGAGCAGATATTGCATTTCAAGCAGTAGAGCTTGCACAACGGCTGTCTCACCTGAGGTTTAACATTCACCGCCTCTACGGCATTTTCATTCAGCCATTTTGCATCAACTTCCACATCAAAATGGCCAATATTACACACTATGGCATCATCCTTCATCTGCTCAAAGTGCCTGCAAAACAAAAAGAATAAATTCCCATTAAAAATTAATGCATAAAAAAATTTCTTCAGCAAAAGAAGATGCTCTGGTCCATAGCTCTGTTCAAGGAGAAATGCTAAATGCTCACTAATTGCATTTGAATTCTTTAAGATGTGTGGCCCTGGTAATCTTGCAGGCATGCAAAGTCTACTGGAAAAAAAAACTCTCCAGCTTCTAGGGAAGGAAACTTCCCACAGATACAAGAGGTTATTGAGGAGAATGTTTTCCCAGTATGGAAAGTAAAACCACTGTGATTGGTCAAACATGAAACATGTTTACTCACAGAAGGAATCACTTTCAACCTTTACCTACCTCCTTTCTTCATATTTAGCTGTCCTAACACAGAATATTCTGGACAATAAGAGCATCAGAGCTATTTATCCCTCTACACCTTTTGTTTCCCCATCACCGCATGCTATAAGACAGGAGCAACTGGAACATGACAACATGAAACTGAACTGAAAGACCAAAGCCCCAATTTCTCACTAAATAGATGCTAAATTCTGATGTCCTGCAATGATAATCTGTGCTAACCCTCACCATATTGCTGACAAGTTATGACTGCATTTTAAACCAATCTAACTGTACAGGTATGCTTTCACCAAAGCAAGTGGCTAGACCATACCTGCCCTGAACAATGTCAGTGCAGCCAGTGGTGGTAACAAAGATATTGCCTTCTTTGCAGGCCTCCTCCATGGTTGTAACTTCATAACCTGAAAAGAGAAAATGTTATTCCTCTATCCAGCACAAGCGCTTATTAAAAAATGAGGTACAGTATTTCACGTAGAAAAGTATGGAGAAAGAATAAGAAGTTTGTCCCACCACCTGACCTATGGAGGATGCAAAGTATAAGCATACTTGTCTTACTAAATACAAACATAGCATCAAAATATCTACCCCTCACTCACTTCCAGTCTGTAGTTCTATACATTCACTGTCTTATGTCCACTGGTGTAGTATCTGGCACAGCACTCAAACTGGATTCAGGGACCAAGTTTGCAAAGGGAAGTACACCCACAACACCTGCAGGTTCTAGTCAGGTATGGAAAGAAATGGGATAAACTGGTACTAAGTATAATTACAGTCACTCCCATAAAGAGAAGCAGCACAGCTGGAAAGGCAGAGAGCATGGCATCTTAATGCATGCTGGAGGTTAGAGTGTAACAACTTTAAGATAACAAAGCCATCCTAAAGCAGGCTTACCATGTTATGACACAGTGGCCCTCCCCCACTACAGCCTCTATATCCTTGACTGCAAAGACATCTTCAAGGCCTACACTAATAAACTCCTACGCTAACTGCCAGGAAAGAATTCCTACAGTTAAACTGGAGTCAACTCTACCTCAACAGGGATGGAGCTGAAACCCACTAAAACTTCCTTGGCCATCTATCACTTGTTGCTGTACACTGACACGCAGACTCCTCTGTCACATGCATCAATTTCTGCATTTCCTTCAGTTCTTACCTTCCATGGCTGCCTGCAGTGCATTGATGGGATCAATTTCGGTGATGATGACTCTGGCTCCAAAGCTCCGCAGGGCCTGAGCGCAGCCTTTGCCCACATCACCATAACCTGCCACAATTGCTACTTTCCCAGCAATCATGACATCTGTCGCACGCTTGATGCCATCGATGAGCGACTCTCTGCAACCATAAAGGTTATCGAACTTGCTCTGAGGAGAAAAAAGGAGCAGTTTCAGAACAGATGCAAGTAAAAATTCTTTAAAGAAACAATTGACTCATGTTTATAGTACAAACCAGGATGCTGTGTACAGAGGCAGGCCTGAGTTCCTTAACCTGCATCCAAATAGCACCAGCACTCTTTGAACACCATTCCCCCTCACCCCAAATTCACTGGGATTTGTCTCAGGAAGCAGTAATATACCTAAGAACAGAATAAACACCTCCTGCCCTGTCCTTTGCAACTGCTGCTCAGAGAGACCAGACCTTTTACCAGACACAAGCTTATACACACTCCTTTTTCCATCTGGTATCCACCACCTTCCTGTGGGCTTTAAGCTACTCAAGAGTGCGGACATGTCCCTTACCATAGGAACTGTACCCCAGGAGCCATGATCTCCATAGGTGGTTTCACATTGAGAGGTAGAAGAATGCATCTATTCTATGATTCTATTCTATGTCCTTAAATACAAAAAAAGCTCTTCATGTTCTGAAAATAGGGCACTTCCCATTAGAGACACCATGGGCTCACTTCAAGGATATGGCAAAAATCTGTTCAGTACCAGATCAAGAACAGCTCAGCAACAGAAGCAATACTTGCATGGAAATGCTGACATCCCCACACCAAACTGGTCAGACAGGAGAACATAGCAGAAGGGCTTTAGATGCATTACCTTGGTGACAGAGTCATTTACATTGATAGCTGGCACTTTCAGGGTCCCATTGGCCTTCATTTTGTACAGGTTGTGAACTCCAGTGGTTGTCTCTTCTGAAATACCTCTAATTCCTGTGAGAAGAATAAAAGTTGGAGTTAACAGTGCTGCAAACCAACACATCCAAGCACTGGGAACATACTCCAGAGGCCTAACAAACCCTTTGCAGGAAGCAGGAAAGAGGTAAGAACCCTCATTTTGGTCCACACACAGTAGTTTGAAACTTTAAACAAGCTTCTTTCCCCATAAGGCAACTGAAAGAGCAGGACAAAATATTCTTTGGAAAAATGGAAGGGGCCAGCTCAAGACCCAGACCTCTAGCTGTGCCACTGGCTTTGCCCAGAGGACAATCAAAGCTGTCAGCCATGGACAGGGACAACTTCCACTAGACCAGGTTGCTCCAATCTGGTCCCAGTCCAATCTGATCCCAACCACTTCAAACAGAATTGGTACCAGTCTCAATGGAGTTTAAAAGCCATTACATTTCCCTTTTCCTTCCCAGAGCACCAGGTTGAAACACTGGCACTCCCTGTCAAAACAAGGAAATAAGACCAACTAAGCCAGAATTAAACAGACCTTGATATTAGGCTGATTTATCCCCAGAGGTCTGTAATCCCAAACCTCATACCAAGCCTACAGTACCTGCACTTCCCAGAGGGTTACCTGAAGAGAGAACAAATTCAGGCTTCAGCACAGTTAGGACTTGCTCAGAGGGGACAGAACAGTTTAAAGAACATTGCCTCATTCACAGCTAAATACAGCATCTGTAGTTAAGTTACCCAAAAGTACCAATACCCCAGTGCAACTGCTTAGATCAAGTATGGAAAAAGTGGTGGATAAAGAACTGGCTGGATGGTCGCAGGCAAAGAGTTGTGGTCAGTGGCTCAATGTCGGGCTGGAGAACAGTAACGAGTGGTGTCCCTCAGGGATTGGGGTTGGGACCAATCTTGTTCAACATCTTCATCGCTGACATGGACAGTGGGATTGAGTGCGCCCTCAGCAAGTTTCCTGATGACACCAAGCTGTGTGGTTCGGTTGATACGCTGGAGGGAAGGAATGCCGTCCAGAGGGACCTTAACACGCTTGTGAAGTGAGCTAACGCCAACCTTATGAAGTTTAACCATGCCAAGTGCAAGCCAGGGTTGGAGCAATCCCAAACACAGCTACAGGCTGGGCAGAGAAGAGATTCAGAGCAGCCCTGTGGAAAAGGACTTGGGGGTGCTGGTCGATGAGAAAATGAACATGAGCTGGCTTCAGTGTGCGCTTGCAGCCCAGAAAGCAACCGTATCCTGGGCTGCATCAAAAGGAGTGTGACCAGCAGGTCGAAGGAGGTGATCCTGCACCTCTGCTCTGCTCTCATGAGACCTCACCTGGAGTACTGTGTGCAGTTCTGGTGTCCACAACATAAAAAGGACATGGAACTGTTGGAACAAGTCCAGAGGAGGCCACGAGGATGATCAGGGGACTGGAGCACCTCCCATATGAAGATAGGGTGAGAAAGTTGGGGCTGTTCAGCCTGGAGAAGAGAAGGCTGCGTGGAGACCTCATAGCAGCCTTCCAGTATCTGAAGAGGGCATATAGAGATGCTGGGGATGGACTATTCATCAGGGACTGTAGTGACAGGACAGGGGTAACAGGTTAAAACTTAAACAGGGGAAGTTTAGATTGGATATAAGGAAGAAATTCTTTCCTGTTAGGGTGGTGAGGCAGTGGAATGGGTTGCCCAGGGAGGTTGTGAATGCTCCATCCCTGGCAGTGTTCAAGGCCAGGCTGGACAGAGCCTTGGGTGAGATGTTTTAGTGTGAGGTGTCCCTGCCCATGGCAGGGGGGTTGGAACTAGACGATCTTAAGGTCCTTTCCAACCCTAACTATTCTATGATTCTAAGTACAATCATCCCTATGTGAAGGAAATCTGGGGGAAGTCACAGCAGAAACCTCCACTTAAAACCTGTCCTCTCTCTCCTTAGGTGTATCTGGCAACCAGGAGACACACTTATCCTTCTAAAGCTCTCCAGGCTGACTTTCCTAAGCTTAGTGCAATTTTAATGACAGCCTGCTAAGTGAAGCTCCCATCACACACACCAACAGGTTCCCTTCTCTGAAGACCACCTGCCTGCTGCCCCCAGGTGACATATATAATTGGTCTAAACTGCTTTGCAACTCCACTGAAAGTCCTGCCTACACCACTCAATTTCAGTGCCAGAGTGACTTGAGTGACTGCAAAGGGCCTACACTAAGGAAAAGGTTGAATTACACTGAAAAAGCCTTGCTAAGCAGTTTGCTCCCCTGTATTTCTTTCCTGGTCAATGAGCAAGTCTGCATCAATGGATCACAAGTGATACAATCTTCTCTACCCTTTCTCAATAGCAGTCTTCTGCACAGATGCCAAAGACCTCCCTTGCACAAGTTCAGATGACTTTCTGCTTTGTTCAGTTCTACTTCAACCATTCCTATCTTTATCTTACTTTTAAGGGGCATTTAACTTAGTGGAATAAGCCCAAAGTAACAAGGCCATTCTGCCCTTCAACAGCAGGCATGATGAAAGAGAGAAGGAAGCTTGCTGAGCACTTCCACATAGCTATCTAACGTATCTCCTAGTTGAAGCGGGCTTGAATAGCCCTACTTTCAACTGTTAGTTGCACGCTACTACTGAACTGACTCCTATTTAAATTAGAAGTTGCTGAAGCTTTAAGACAGGCAGTTCCATTGAAATTAGCCCAGAAAACTTGTTCAGCCTTTAAATGACAAGTAGCTTTTTCAGATGCTGCATGCCAAAATGCCTCCTCTGCTCACAATAAAGTCTTTCCACACACTGTGCGTGCTCTTCTAATGTTGCTTTTGTCCTACCTCTCACCCAAATATGACCACAAGCCCTTAGGATATATTAGCCTCTGTTATCATCAAGATAATAAAAACAGATGCTACACAGCTTCATTCAAGCAGTGTTTACAGCAAAGGGCTACACACAGAACTTCATTAAATGAGATCAAGACTACTCAGTGGTACCATTCTGGAAGTTTTGCTGTTTTAAGGAGCAATGGACTGGAAGGTTGAACAGATCAAGTTCTGTCACACTCCAGAGATCAGTCTTTAATTAGTTTACTAAATTAAAAGCATGTAGCGCGTGCATTCTGCTACATATGGCATCCTGTCTAGGCTCTAAAAATACAATAGAAAAGCCATCCCCATGAATTCAGGGAGCAATCCCAGGCACCATGGATGTTTATCATCAGTGGCAGACTAGAAATGGATGGCCAAGACAGGAGACACTTCAGCAGCCACTGCCCTACTGCACCATACTATACCAGTCCCTTCCACACCAGACCCACACAAGTAAGAAGGAGCAAAGGGCTGCAAGGGACAAAACAGCAGACAGCAGGAGAGATGGAAGTGTGAAAGGAGCTCAGCACAAGGACCCCCAAGAACAGGGACATCAACTGAGGTGCTTCACATTCATGGCAAAGAAGCAACTCTGCAAAACAGAGTATGAATGTGGAAAATGCCTTTTTTTTTTTTGGCCTCTGACAATACCAGGAAGACACAGAGGCATGATCAGTTGTAGTTTGGCAGGAACACAAGAGATCATGAACATCAGACAGAGGCAATCTAGAAAGAAGACCTCTGCAGAAGAGAGGATCCCAACATGGCTGAGTAGACACCAACAAAAACCTCTCATTACAGTTCAAATAAGATGTTGACTGTTGGATTACTAGGGACATCAGGCTGAGGATGAAGGAGAAACTGAGGCATGTTACACAGAAGCAGCTTCCTCTCTTCCTGCTTCCCCTACCCATTAGCACACAGATGGGGAGCAGCCCCAGACTTGTCCCCTCACACAGCCATACCCATGGGTTGCCACCTTCAAATTTTCCCCCATAGCTTCCTCTTAAAGCAGTGCAAGAATAAGCACTGATCCAGAAGGTTTTTACAGCAACCTCATCTCTATGGACCTAGAATGAATATTAGTACACAGCACTGTATCAGTATAATCTCCACCCCATATCACTTTCCAGTGTTCTTCACATCCCAGATCAAGCGTGCTGTTTAGCAACACTAGGTGTCTGCAGCTTGCAGCAGCACAGATGACGGACACTGGGAGAACTCGGGAGAAGCCATCATGCTTCATGTCCGGGAGGCACAGATCAGCTCCTGCAGGTCATGGCAAACTCTATTCAGATAAATCCTTTTACATAAACATGTGCCAGCAACACCACACTGATCTGTTTTTAGTTTCACTAACTTACACTGAAGATAAGTTAAAGCAAGAGCCCCAATCCTGACTCCATCAGCATCTTGACTGACAAACTGGATGAGTCAATGCCTCATCCTTTACAAGGTAGAAAATTGTTCCTTTTCCAAGAAAGGTTACAAGTTGCCATGACTTCATCCAGAAGCACACTAAGATGATGAGGAGGTAAAAGCATTAATGGTAAAAATATTAACTGCAAGCAGACATTGAACAAGTCTAAAACACAGCTCATTTCCAGGGAGGCTGGAAGCCTTGGCAAGCCAGCTGTACCACCCCTACAGGTTATGGGCACTGTGAAGGAAGGCCAGGACAGGTCACTGCAGCTTATATACTAAAAAGCAGAGATGGAAGTAGCTCCTGCAGGTAAGATGTTTTGGTCTTGGCCTGTAAGCGGTTTTCATAGACTCACAGCCTGTTTGCACATGCCTGTCTCTACCCCACCCACAGAAAGAGACTGCATAAACAGCCTCCAAAGCAGAACTGTGCCTGACAAAGCAAAACAGCACTCACCTTTCAAGAGCTGTGGGTATTTGGTATGAACTAGATTGGTAAGATCTCCACCATCATCCAAAATCATGTTGAGGGGCTGCCCATCCTTGAAGTACAGGGTCTGCTCAATGCACCACAAATATTCCTCATCCGTCTCCCCTTTCCAGGCAAACACTACACAAGAACAAACACACACAATTAGCCAGTTTCTTACTCAGCATGTGGTAAAGCAGCCAAAGGAAGATTTCATCAGCAGCTCTCAGAAGCAGACAGAGAGATTATTATCTGTGCCTGCAGGTCAGAAGAGACATTTGAATTGAAAAAAGGATCTCAGAATGCATAAGAATGAAATCACATTGCTTTCTGTTCCAAGGCACAAATTTGGTCAAATTTTGAGGCTTCACTGCTCCCTTTATCTTTCTTCCACGTTAAGAGAGAGAAGGCAAAGCAAACCAAATCAGATACATCCACAACACTCACATGCTCCCCTAATACACCCTATTTTACTAGGAATTAGAAATAACCACTGGATATATTTATATAGACAAATGAAAACACAACTACAGCATTTTCTAGCACAGCAGAAAAGAGGGACTAAAATTTAGCACCAAACTCATGAGCAACTTTAAACTCAGAGCTAAATTAGAACATTGGAAACTTACCAGGGATACCAGCTTTTGCAATAGCAGCTGCAGCATGGTCCTGCGTGGAGAAAATGTTGCAGCTTGACCATTGTACCTGGAAAACAACCCAAGTTTTGTTTGCTGAACAAAGTTCTGAGATATCAGGCACTCTTCCAGACACAGGAGGTGAAAAGGGAGCAAGAGCAGAAAGGCATATTAGTGCAGCTTCTTGCCTTTCTTAGTAGCTCTGAAAGGTTAAGGTGAAAATCAAATATGTGACTAGGCCTGGGGATATAATGTCACTTGGGGAGAGAATATAATGGAGCTTTAGCTGTGCTGCATATTCGTTCATAAGAGCTTATTCATGAGACCTATTCATGAGAGCTTCTGCCAGGCAGCCAGAGCATACATTCAGCTATAGATCTGCAGGAAGTGCACAGTAGGGTGGGTTTTAGAAAGTTTTGGTCAATGAAGTTCAGATTTTCAGAACAGCCACGTAGCAAGTGTCCACTGTGGGTTATAGATATGCAGCAACACACCTGCTGGCACTCAGAAGGGTCAGAAATGCAGCTGAAACTACACTTGATTAAACAAACATTCTCCCAAGATTATGCTCACCCACCTCCCTCTCTGTGCTCCAGTCATAGAAGCTTTTCCATCTGAGCTAAGCATTTTCCACACTAGGCTCAGGCACCTAGAAAAGCAACAGCATATCGCTGAGTTGCATGGAAAAGTATCTACATACTTACTGCACCTCCCCAGCAGGCACAAAACCCAGCACATCCCAGAGCCACAAACAAGTTCTCACTGCAGGGCTGACTGGCAGGTTTTTGCATGCTTATTTGTAACAGAGCTCACGGAGAGAGAGCAATAATGCATAATCCTTCAGCGTGTTTCCAGATACTCATCCCACTTTATCAATAGCTGACACTTCAAAGTAAGGACTGCAGTAGGAAGTACCTCATCTGAGCCTGCACAATACTTGTCAGCGAAAACACAACTGGAAGGAGCACAGGAAAAACGAATTCATGACCATAAGCACTGCACTTCCTCATGTGGGTTTTTCTAAGTTCCTTCCATATCCGTACAAATGACACTGGAAGATGTCATGACATTCAAAGCATACAAAATACCTGTCTATTGGTTGCGCTTCAAGTACTTGATACAAGACATCAGCCACTTCAACTGCATCCTCAGATCTATAACACCAGTTTGTGATAACAGCACAGACCCTAGAATAACTAGCATATCCGATAGGCTCAGAGCTAATATCTGCATCACTGGTTATGAAGATAATGCATTTTTAGTACAATTTTAGAACTTAGGCACTCTGAGAGAGAGAGTATTTATTCTATCTTTGCTAACCTAGCCAAAAAAGGGGTACCAAGATAACTATGCTGCAGTGAGCTACATGGTCATTCTGTAGGGCATGGTTTCATCAATTTCACTCCTCCCTCTTGGGCACCAAAGCTCTGGCAGGACAGATGAACCAGGGCTGAATCCAAACCCAAGTCAAAGTCTAAACTAAATAAACGCAAGCACTGGGAAAAGGAAAGAGCTAACATGATAGCACACACCTTAAAAGCACAACCACGCTTATGCACTTATGCTTAGAGGAACCAAATCTCTGCAGGTACTTCCCTGAACGACTTGGATGAATCCCTCACAACACTAATTGGGTATTGTTCTCAGAATAAAACAGCTTGGCAATGTTCAAGTAAGCACACAGCTTCTGCCCAGGCCAGCCATGCCGACACACAGCAACCCAACAGTAGCAGCAAGGAGCTTCCCAAATTTCAGTGGCTACTGCTTTCTTTTAAATCCTGTGGAGGGACAAGAGTTTCATACACAGAGTAGCTGGCATAAAGCCAGGACTAGCTCCACAAAGCTCTCTTTCAGTACTGCATCATTTACAACTGTGGAACAGCCGTGAACAGGCTGAAGAATAACCTGCACAACAGCAGGTACCTACCTTGCCCAGGCTGACCTGGCATGTTTCTAGACCTACCCTCTCCACTTTTTGAGGAAATGCCTTAGTTGCTACAGAGAAAGCTTCCCTTTCTCCCAGTGCCTTCTGATCAGCATGACACTGTTAAACTCATTCAGCAATTCACAGGGAGGGATCCCATACAGAGCACCTCTGGGCAGCCTGAGTTCAGGCAGCTAAACTCCTGGAAGGAGCTTCAGATCACATATATACTTAACATAATTCATCACCAGGTTCCAGTCAGCTCCCTGCTGCTCAACATATGAGCTACGTGAATTGTGCTCAGATGCCTGACTCTCCTCATGCCCTGTACAATGAACACTCAGCAGTGATATCTGGACTTGAGCCAGAAAGCCAGGCAGAGGACACCACAGTAAATGGCTTACAGGTATCTCAGTATTTCATATGGACCAGGGTAACTGGTCCATAGTCACACAACAAATTCAAAGTCATTGGAGTCTCCAGTCATCGATCACTGAGCTGCACTGCCTCTGTGTTGTTTTCCTGCACAGCTAAAGGGCCAGCACGAGCTCTTCAGAAGCTTCACTGGTTTTTTTGCTGACTTTACCAGGGCACAGTGTGGCTCTTAATACAGGCTAATCTGTGCTGGAGGCTGGCACTGAGCTTCCACATTAGTAGCAACAACAATACGTGCCCGAGCACACCACCACTGTGTGGTACCAACTTTCAGCACTGCTGCTAAGGGTGCTGTACACACAACTGCTGGAGCTGCTTGCAGCCAGCAATGAAGCCCAGAACAGCCACTCATGAAGAGGCAGCTTGTCCAGAGTAAAGACACATACTGCATCCCAGAGGTATACGCAGAGCAGGTGACAAGCTTTTTGCTTAAGGACAGAAGACATAATCCATCCACCTGGGGACTGCAGCAGTCTGTTCCAAAAATTACAGCCAATTGCCAAAACCCCTAAGGTACTTATATAAGCAGAAGCAGTACCTTAGGCAGAGCATTACCTAACAGAACACTAAAGGAGAAACTCGGAGGCACTTTACCTCAGCTCCCAGCTTGATAAGGGTCTCTATGAGAACTGCTGTCTGCACAGTCATGTGAAGGCAACCGGCGATACGTGCACCTTTCAGTGGCTTTGATGCAGCATACATCTCCCGCATCTTCATCAGCCCTGGCATCTCATTCTCTGCAATCTCAATGGCCTTGCGACCCCAGTCTGCAAGGCTGATGTCAGCTGCAAGAGAAGGATAGCTGTCAGAGTTGAAATAGCAAAGACTCTGGTATCTGTTCATACTCTTGTGGGTAGGCACTGGCTGCAACAGCTGAACTGAACAACCAGCAACAGCTGACAAGACACAGTTAGGCAAACAGACCCTATTCCAGTTACTCCCTAGCTTTTCACTATGGTACATAGGCTTTCAAACAAGTTTAGAGCTAACTTAGCAACCCCTCTGGAAAAAATGTGCTGCTGTATGAGCATATTCATCAACTTGATCTAACATGCAGACATTCCAAGAGCCTATAATTTGGTAAGCCCCAGCCTTAAGTGTTCCTCCTTGCAGAGACTGCCCAAGGGCCTGACACCTCCTAGAGATTTACTTCCACAGGATTAAGACACACATGGAGGGGCTGCTGGTATGGCAATAGCTTCCCCACATTATAGCACAGACAGCATGGTAGCTGCCATGTGCACCAGGAGCTGAGCCCAGCCCAGCTGCCCCTCGTAAGAGCTGTGCTGTAGGGTTCCTACCCCTTATACCCACAAAGATTATTTTCAAAGCATCACAACTACCTTAAATACAATCAACATCTGCTTTATAAAACAGATCTGGAGTAGAAAAGTCCAGGAAAAAAAAAAAAAAACAGAAGACTTCCAAGATGCTAACTTGCAGTAGAAAATACTGTGCTCACCATGGATGCCTGACTCCAGCCTTGAAAAGGCACGGGTCAAACAGCTAGTGCCTAGGTGCAGCACTCTGCAGCATCAGCCAGTGCCCAGTGGCCCTCTTTCTCGGTTGGCTCTTTCAGGCATGTCAGAAACATACCATTTCATTAAGAAACATGGTCAGACAGTTTTATTTCATCTACCTGGTGAATACAGGCCATTGAAAGCACTTGAGAACACCAGGCAGGACCTCAGAGTCAGACTGTGTGTGTAATACAGACAAGCTAATTGCATTTTGCTCCTGAATGAAGCCTGGAGGCCACTGAAACTACTGCCTCCGCTTCAGCTGTTACACCAAGTGGAGACTGCAAAAACCCACGGCAGGGGAAGGGCCATGGAAACAATTCCATCAGGAGAGGGAGGTCTTGAATCCCACCCCTCCTAAGGGCTCCGCAGCTTTACCAGGACTGCTAAAAAAAAAAAAAAACACAAATAAACCTGGCAGTATTTAATCCATAGCCTCCAGGCTAAATGAGTTATAAATCTCAGCCTTATAGGCTAAGGTTCTTCTCTTCGAATTTAGCCTTCAAAGAGCACATAACTCTGTAGAAAAATTAAGGTTTTTTGTTGGTTCTTTTTCTCTGTGGAGTTTCAGGTCTACAGAAACACCCGCCAAAACCTTTGGGGAAGCGTGCCGCACAGGCCCCAGATTCAAACACACTTTCACGTCCGGAGGGAAAGCCTGTCCCAGCGGACCTGGAGCCAGAGCAGAGGCCGTGGGCCCCGGGCCAGGAGAGCAGCGGAACGCCGGGCTGAAGAGCCGCTGCAGGAACGGCCGAAAGCTCCAGAGCGACGGGCACAGCCCGCCGAGCCCCGCTCCTTCCCCGCCGGTGACCGGCAGCACACGCGGTGCCGCGGCCGCCTGCCCTCCGCGGCGGCACGGCGGGCAGGCTGCTGCCATCTTCCCCCCGCGGCCGCATCCAGCCGCGGCTCCCCGGCACGGCGCTGCGGCAGCAGGCCAGGCCCGCTGCACTGCGCTTGCCCCGGCCGCGGGGCTCGCACTCACCCACTTTGTATGGCAGCCTGTCCGACATGCTGGCGAGCCGCGGCAGCCGGCGAGGGAGGAGGTAGCAGCCGCTCCAAGCGCGCCTTAAGTAGAGGCGGTGCCTCCGCCTGCGCGGGGCGGGATTGGGCTGCGTCGCGCCGGGGCCCTGCCGCTACGAGCGAGAGGGGACCGGGCGGCCCAATCCCACGGACCTGCCACGAGCCCACCTCCCCGCGGTCAGGCGGGCTCCGGATAACCCTGGAGCCTGGGCCATCCTCAAAAGCTGTCCCACCGATACCATGCTAGGCTCCAGAGGCTTCCTCTGCCCCGGCGCCTGACTCATATCCAGATCCAGACCCAGACCCAGGCCAGGGCAGGCTCTGGTACCTGGAGTGGTCTTGCCACCCACCACCACAGGTGCCAAGGCAGGCTTTGGAGCTCAAGAGGACCAGAGCGCGGCTGGGGGCTCTACCAGGACAGGCATGGAATCATAGAAGCACAGAATACCAGGTTGGAAGGGGCCTTAAGGATCATATAGTCCAACCTTTCTAGACAAGCATGACCTAGACTAGACGTCACAGCACCCTGTCCAGCTGAATCTTAACAGTGTCCAGTGTTGGGGAATCCACCACTTCCCTGGGGAGATTATTCCAATGGCCCTGGTCCCCAGTATGAGGCCTGGCCATGGAGACACGGTGGGCACTGACCAGCCAGCACACCTGTCCCTCTATACTGGGAGGTTCTCTGAATGATCCCATGAGTTGGTCAGTATAAGCAGTTACTCTGTGGCGTGTGGACCCTTTGCTGCAGCAGGGCTGAGGGCAGTGTGCAGCTCAGGCAGTGGGGCCTGTGAGGCCGGGCAGCGTGCTGGTGAGATGCCATGCGGACAAAGCTGAGGCATGTGAGCTGCTCTGTTTGCCTGGACCTTGGACTTGGCTGCAGCCTGCTGCTCTTTCCAGCCTGGTGCCGGTTTGCCAGGTGTAGGGCAGGAATGGCACAGGGAGGCCTGCTGGCCCTTGCCCCCTGCCGCAGCCAATGCTCGCTGGGCATGCAGGAGGCAGGGCCCTGCTTCAGCCTTGCCTGGGGGTCACGCACACACTTGCTCTGGTTCTAAAGTATGAAATGCTGTCATGGTTTAACTCCCAGCCAGCAATTAAGCCCCATACAGCTGCTTGCTGGCTCCCCTCACAGTGGAATGGGGAATAGAATCAGAAGACTAAAAGTGAGAAAACTCTTGGGTTGAGGTAAAAACAATTTAATAGGTAAAGCAAAAGCTGCTCACACAAGCAGAGCAAAATAAGGAATTCATTCACCAATTCCTATGGGCAGGCAGGTGTTCAGCCATCTCCATCACATGTTCCAGCGGCTTGGGAAGACAAACACCATCACTCCAAATGTCCCTCCTTGTCGCTCTTCCCCCAGGTTCGTATGCTGAGCCTGATGCTATATGATGTGGAATATCCCTTGGTCAGTCAGGGTCAGCTGTCCCATCTCTGTCCCCTCCAAATTTATTTGTGCACCCTCAGTCCAATAGCTGGTGGAGTGGTGTGAAGAGCAGAAAAGGCCTTGACTCTGTAAGCACACTAAAAGGTCTCTGTATCATCAACACTGTTTCCAGCACAAATCCAAAACACAGCCCCATACCAGCTACTGTGAAGAAAATTAACTCTCTCCCAGCCACAACCAGCACAAATACATTTTTCATAAGCCTGTTATAAACTGAGGCAAACTTTGAAACCAGCATGTTATGTACCTTTTATCTGTGAAAATAGTTAAAAGTGAGGATTTCCTCATACTTACACAGAAATTATCCTTGAATCATCTTGCAAAGTTTGAAATGGTTCTCAGTGCAGTGTCCACCCCAAGACCCCAGCTCACAGTATTCTCCAGAAATAAGGTTTGAATTCTGTTAACCTGAGCGGCAGCTGATCTCAGTCCTACAGAGAACAGTCCACAGAGAAAGGCAAAAGTCCCAGTAGGAAACCTGTAGCCCTTTATCCAGAACATACGCAAGTGATAATGTTTGTGTTTGATATTTGGAGCGCTGCAGGCACATTGGCATACCTGATACCACACCAAAGAGTTCTGTAACTCCCAAAGGAGTAGCGTGTCTGTTCCCCTGCACAGATTCATCTAACTCAGTCATGCTTTCACTGGGTTACATCACCAACCTTCTTATCACAGCTCAAATCACTGGCTCACAGCAGCAGGACAGGAGTTCAGGCTCTGGCCATCTTTTCTGAGACACTGAGGTTGCATCACTGGCAGACTGCAGTTTCTGTGTGCTCCTGAACACCTGCCTCTGATAGTGGGCAAGCAGAAGACTTCCTGACAGCTCTACTTTATGCAGCAAGACCTAAAGGCAACAAAATGCTCCAGACACGCCATGCATTAGGTGCGAGCCCACAGCTTCTCCAGCAAACTGTTGTCAGTTATAGTCAGTGTCCTTTGGTACTAACCCATGGCAATCCATGCACAAAATGTCCTTCCTAACTACTGAGCAAGACCAGAACAAAGACATCATTTAATGTAACTCCCACCGATTTCATACTGCTCTGAGAAGGCTGAAAGGACCAGCACCTTCCCACAGCTACATAAAGGAGTGGGTGGCAGGAGCCACAGGAGCTGACAGCATTTATTAAAGGAGGACGGATCAGCTCCACCTAGCGTGAAGGTGCTCCAATGCAGATATTCCCAAGGAGTGCTTCAAGACAAGTCACGCTAGCGGCATCGTTTGCCCTACTCTGATGTAGGAGATTGATGCCTCATAGCACTGTATTTTACTACATCTTAATGCAGCACTGACTATTCGTATGTACCCTAGTCCTTTCATTGTTGTTGTCAGTGGTAGATTTGGGACACCAGATGGCACAAGATAGGCACAAAATGGGGGGAATAGGATGTAGTGAAGAGCAAGGAACAGGAAAAAGAACAAAAAATTACAAAAAACCACTACCTAACAGAGCATATGAAACAACAACAGAATGTTATTCATGTTATACATCCTGTGAATGTTTTATTTGCTGTGGTAGTTCAAGTGGGGAAGTTCTAGACTGTAAATTTAAATATCTCACAGTCACTGAAAAGAAATGAAACGGGGGGAGGACGACGACACCTTAAAAAGGAAGAGAATATAATATTTCTTCAGAATTATATTAAAAAAAAAAAAAGGTTTAGCTTTACTGGCATGGCTGGGAGATGCTGTAGATTTCAAGGCTAGGAGAAAACATCCATGTAAGCTTCTTATAATACAGGTACTTCACACAGGTACTCCATACAAAGCCAGGTAGTTACTTGACTGGACAATTACTCTATTATGTACACTATAAGAAGAATTTCATGCAATCTGAATTGTTGGGGGTTTTTTAATAAAAAGAATGTCCATATTTGTTCACTGACCTTTGAAAATGCCAAATACTCTGACAAAACAAACCCTGCATGTCTCAAAGGGATACCCACAAACAATGAGATTATATTCTGTACCTCAGCTCACCCATACCCAGAAACTGCAGACAACTATTTCATTTTCCCACAAACTTACATACATATTGCAAAGATTTCTGCCTGTGAAACACTATGATATCGTGGTGGCAGCGTTCAGGAGCACCCTGAATTAGGAAACTAGTGTTGTTTTACCCTGCACAGAGGTTTGGTGAGGAGTGAAGAAGAATACCCATAGTGAATGACGCAGATGAAAGAGGTGTTGTGTAATAACTGTTCCAGCAAGGACAAGCTGTTCTGTGCAGTGAGGCAGGTACAGTGATGATCCAGTTGGATTTTATCATGGTAAATGTCACAAGGTGCCTAATGAAGGTTTTAACAGTGATGCCATCACTGGCATCTTCTAAGTACAGTGCTTTGCTCTGTAGCTTCATGGCTTGTGAGGGCCCCAGCCAGCAGCTGAAAGCTGCAGCAGCCTTCTTACATGCAGGCTGCATGACTCACACTGCTAATTTAGCTTAGCAGGGGTCCCATGTGGATGAGATCCCTTGCTCTTTGTGTCTTATATTGGCTTTTAATACAGTGCTGTTATGGGCAGCATAGACATAGGTTTATATTACTCACAAACGTGTTTCAGCTCTCTCCGCAATTAAACTCTCCCTGACTGCCTCAAGCATAAACTCTGAGACTTGTATTGCCTCGTGGGTTTGCACAAAGTCCTTCACAACATGATTTCCTGACTGCTATCATCTTGTGCAGCAGCACACAGTAACACCACTGGGGATCTAGCTCAGTTAATACCATCTCAATTCACTACTGTAGCAAGCATTAGCATTATGATACCATGATAACACCATTTGCCCCAGTGATATTAAATTCAACACATTCCAGATTCTGCTGTGAATTTTCCACTTTCTCCACCCCTCTCCTCAGCAGAGGCTTCTGCACTTCACGAGGTCCTGATTCTGTGTTGCTGGTACTATCCACTTTCCATCATGGACTGCCCAACAGAGGGCAGAGGGAGCCTTCATTTAGTCTTCCAGGTGAATGAGGACTAGCAGCAGTTTGGTAGTAGTGAGTCCAAGGGTTGAAAGGAGGCTATATGTTTCTGTGGCAAGAACACTAGAAATTATTGACTTGTGAACATGCAGTCTTTACACACAAGTGCAAGCATGAACTGAAACAAGAGCTAGAAGATAATAAATTAACTGCTGTGAAGAGAAGTTTGGACTGATTTTACCTCTTGGCTCTTATTTTCCTTAGATCCCCAACATGAGAAAAAACAGAAGGTTTGTTTCTTAAAGAAATCCTTAGGCCAGCCTGCTACACAAGAGGCTGGTTCAGACTCTGAGAACCTGAAGCTCTGGGCTGGTGGTTAAGTCAGTATGACATTGTCTTCTCCTCCCTCTTGCAGTTGTAGCAAGCATGAGCATAACATGAACTGAGGACCAAGCCCTAAGTCTTGTAGAGCAAGTTTAACCAAGTAAATTCTCCCTTAATCCAGCATGGGAAATTATGAGTACTGCAGCTGGTATGTTAATGGCATGCGATGGGACTGGTACAGCAACCTTCCTGCCCCTTGTTGTTACTCACCTTAAGTTTGTAATTCAGCTGCCCAGTTACTAAGTGCACAGTGAGCATAAGAAAGGCTGGATGAAAAAAGTCGAGTGAATGAGTAAGATTACTACTACTTCAAAGCCAGGGCCTGTTACCTTCCCTGCAGTTCAAGACTGGAGCATTGGTTCAGAGTTCTTTTTCAGAAGTGTAATGCTGCAGCTTCAAGGGACAGACAGGCTTATTGAAACACACAACTTCACCTCTTACTCAATAGGACTGCTAGCTTGGGTTGTTTTTTTCTTTTTAGAGGAGAACATTGGGGTATCGTCGTACAAGGAACTACATAAGGTAAAGAAGGTACAGACTCCTGAAGCTGATACTTTTCAAGAATTCACAATATAAACCAGTTCATTAGCTTTATTTGGCTTTGGATCAAGCCCCAGGTATTTAAATCATACCTTCTCCCTTTGTACTAGTTTTAACATTACATAGCTTTTTATTAGCATCTGTTCTGCCCTGAAATGCAAGTTGATTTATACCAGAGCAATTTGCAAGGAGGTAAACCACTCAGGGCATGAGTCAGCCTTTCTGATGTCAATAATTTAAAACAATATAAAATGAGGAAGGTTATCAGGGCAGGACAGGAACAACCCCCGGTCTAAACAAGATAAAGGCTCTTTCTACTAGCATCTCCATTCCAAAAACTCTTCTCAAAGAGCCTGGCAGAAACAGGTATCCCACTGTCACGGGCACTGAGCAAATGCATGTGTTCTCACCCTTTAAGAGGCCTAGATGCAGCATCCAGACAGCAAAGGTGTAACCAGAACCCAAGTAGTGCCCACGGGTGCCCTGCCTATATGCCATGCTGTCCCACCACAGGCCCAGCTGACCTGAAGGCTGTTTGCAAGGTCTTGGTGTAGACAGTGATTTACAGTATCATGTTCTTCAGTCCCAGGGAAAAATAACATTCAGCCTTTTGTGTGGGGAAGAGAGGAACAATTTCCCCAGTATCTTGTCCTTCCTTTAAAACATATACATACCATGGCTGTGTCATTTCCGTTCTCAAGACACCTAATCACTCCCTCACAGTTCTCTGATTATGCACTGTAAAGCAATTGAGTAATAAAACACTTAATTAAACAGCCACGTCTTTGTTTTACCCTTTAATTAGATTACTTGGAAATAATAATTTCTCACCAACCTGAAGGTTTCATTCTGCAGATAACAGGAAGTAAATTATCTTTTCCCACTGATACTTTCATAAATCTCAAGTAAATTCTGATTTTAAAGTCAATTAGAAATAGATAAACTGATTCTACACTTATCTTCATGAGTGATATCGTGAATTCAGACTCTTGATAACAAGGCAGCATAGGAAAAAATCTTTTTTTAGAGATGATTATTTCAAGATTTTATTAAATCAAAAATTTATTTGTATTTATTAAATCAAGTCTGTTTAAAAAAAAATAAAGCATTTGCTGTAATACTTACCTACATAACAGAAACCCCCCGAAGATGTTTTTATTAAATTTACTTTATGGTTTTTTATAAAGTGCTTTGAAATCCAGAAATTAAAAATGATGTGAAACCAAAATATTCCTGCATTTGTAAATCACCAACTTTGCAGACAGAAGTGTTAAGCCACTGTCAAAGATTTAAAATAGCTTAGCAGCTAATGAATGCTGATGACATCTGATGATTATTCAACAGTCACTTTGTGATATTTGCTTGGGGCTGTGTCTAGCCCAAAGTAGGTAAGCATTCACACGAACAAAATTCCTTCCATGGAGAGATGGTCACTGTGGTATCTTCAGTAGCAGGATCAGCTTATGTTGTTGATTTATATAGCATTACTACAGTGAGGTCCTAAATAAAGGTAGACAAAAACCTCAGGAAACTCAACAGCTAGTTCTGTATCTGGGAGGGAGTAACCCCAAGGCTGCACTGGTGATTAGAATATTGTTACTTACAATAGCCCAATTGAGAATAAATGCTATACATATTTTGCCACAAGAAACAATCTCTGTCACAGTGACCTTGAAATCTCTACTGGAGTGAGAAAGAACGAAAAAAATACTATGACTATTATTATCTCTCAGAAATTAACTCCCAGAAGCAGTGCTTGAGTGTATGAAACTTAGCAAATCTGGAAAGCTATAAAGCATGCACAGTTTTTCTAGAATGCCTTTGTACAAGATCATCCTGGAAACTGTAGGTAACTTTCCTAACCTGCTGGGGTTCTTAGCACTCAAAAGAAAGCTATGACAGAGAATAGCAAGAAAATTCCATCCTGCCTGAGTATCTTGCAGTTATAGAAAGTATAAGGAAAAATAAAATGATCAAATAGTCTTCCCTTTTCCCCACATAAGCAAATAAAAGAAGGATAAAGCCTTGGATACGTAGCTGTTCTGCCACTCAGTTATATTCATCTGTGCTTGCCACATTGTTCTAGTGTCAATTCATTATCTGTTATTCCAGGTCACTACCAGGCTATGATCTCTGAAAGAGTGTGAATGTGAAGACTGCTCTATGTTCATCCTGTCCTGGCAAGCATAGACTAATCATACTCTGTGCACCTGGAATGCATTCTTTTTCTCATGAATTTTGCAGAGCAGATGGCGCCAGTGGAACTTGACTGGAGGCATCAAAAGCTGAAAAATAAAGAGATTGGGGTTGCTGGTGTTGAACAACAATCATTTTTCTGAAATGCCAGTTACAAAAGGAGGAAAAAAATAATAACACAGAGGACAACTTGTGCGGTGTCCTTGAAAAAAGTCACTGTTATTAATTCACATCTGCTTTATCAACCTTTACCTTGGAAACCTAAAAACCAGTATGTGGAGACAGTGTTCTCACAGGAGAATGGATAATTGGTACATAAACTCTGAATAATCCAGCAAGGCCGTGAGAGGCCAGAGGAAGCTTAAGCAAGCAAGATAAGAAGAAGCTATAATTCACTGAGTTATGAGAACTGTGGGCTGTTGGCAAGCTTTCGAGGTCAAGTTCTCACACCTGTGCTTAACCAATTATGTGTTAGTCGCTAAGGGTCTTCAAGACATGTGTCCAATCATAATATGCCAAATCACTGTAAGTGCCTGTAAGAAATGGTATATAAGGAGTTAATTTAACTTTGTAATAAATTGGCAGTCGCTGATCACATTGATTGTCTCTGCATTGTCCACGACTCCCGTGTTGACACCAGCAAGACAAAAGCATTGACTGCAAATGGCCTCACTGCCCTAAGGATATATGCACATCTCTTGAATTCAGTAGCAGTCACCTGTATGTGTACTTGGGGTAGCATTCATCTCCTTCCTGCAAACTCTAAACTACTAAAGTTCATATTAATTCAGACAGCTGAAGTAAGAAGTCATAGTACACCTACCTTCAATGTCCCTGCAACTTTGGGAATCAAACCACAGGCAATCTGCAAAAACAAACCCAGTGTTATGTATCAGATGGGAGATAGAGCAAATACACTGTTAGGGAGCCCCCCCCCCCCCGTCCCGTCCCGTCCCCCGTCCCCCATCCCATCCCCCGTCCCCCCCGTCTCAGCACTCACAGGCTCTGACCAAGCAGCCAGTGTTGTTCTGTGCTGGAATTAAAGGGATTCCTGTGCTTGACGTTATGTGCGTTATGTTATGTTATGTTATACCTTGGTCAATCACAACTGCAGAGGGCTAACTGGAATGGAAACATGTATGTTATTCTGTTAGGGGAAAACAATCTAAACTGTTTTCTTGCTTAGGCCTCATCAAATGACAGAAACAGTCATTTAATTGCAGCTATGGAATCTTTCTTATTGGAGTTTATGTGTGAGGCAGGAAGAGAAGATGGATTTTTACATCCCTACCAGTTGTAAGAGAATGCTAAACTCTGCACTTGTAAAGTGTGCAATTTCCCTGAAACATTAGTGAAGATATTCTCTTACTCTTTGAAAATAATGGATTCTTTTCTCTGATTTCACTGCTTGGAAACTGAACACTCTTATTCCTCTCTGTCAAAACAGGAAGTGTATTTTAATTTTAATTCCAATGTATTCACTTATGCAATGGTGCATTCTGGTTAAGAAAAAGTACACTTGAAGCAAGGGTTTATGTAAAGGTTAAGTAATACTAATAGCTTACGTATCTGCAGTGCATACATTAAAACCACAAAACCTTGACTGTGTGGCCAAAATCTGCACTACCACTGATATCCCAGTTGCCTGTCTGTAAGAAACTCAGATTATCCAGAATGTCTCTTTGTGCTATCAGAAATTCCCTGTTAGTGTTGCTGTGATAACCCAGCACTGCCAGTGGCTTGTTAAGGTGTTCTTGTAACTTCAGAAGAGCGTTAGCCTAACCTGCATGCAGGGCTGCTTTGGTGATCAACGATTTTTATTGTAGTGTGTGTGGAGTGGGTCCAGAGAAGGGAATGGAGCTGGTGCAGGGCCTGGAGCACAGGGGTGATGAGGAACAGCTGGGGGACCTGGGGGGTTCAGTCTGGAGAAGGCTCAGGGGGGACCTGATGGCTCCCTACAACTGTCTGACAGGAGGATGGAGCCAGGAGGGGCTGGGCTCTGCTCCCAAGGAACAAGGGATGGGGCAAGAGGAAACGGCCTCAAGCTGCACCAGGGGAGGTTTAGATGGAGCTGAGGAACAATTCCTTCCCCAGAGGGTGCTCATGCATTGTAACAGGCTGCCCAGGCCAGTGCTGGCAGCACCCTCCCTGGAAGCATCCACACCCGGTGTAGACAATGCCCTCAGTGCCATGGGTTAGTGGTGGCCTTGGCAGTGCTGAGCCAATGGTTGGACTTGATGAGCTTAGAGATCTTTTCCAACCGAGCTGATGCTATGATTTAATATTCTATGTATGTGCTGTGTGTACATACACACACAATCCTTTCCAGGGCCCTGGCCCATATGGTTTCTGTGGCAGGTGAGGTGATGATCAGGACCAAACAGCTCCCTGCCGCTCCGGGCAGCCTCACGGCCAAACACTAGTCCCGTCCCGGGAAGCTGGTGCTGCAGAGCGCCCACTGACCCACTGCCACCGCCACGGCCCACGCACACAACACGCACGGCCACCGACCCGGAAGTCAGGCACTGCCGCGCAGGCCGACCCGCCGCGCTGGACCCGCCGCGGAGCACGCCGGGAACTGTAGTCATGGCGCGGCAGTGGCCGCGAAGGGACTCGGCGCATGCGCTGCTTCCGCCCGACTTTGCGAAGTCGCTGCTTCAGGCCGGGCTGGAGCCGCTGCCATCTTGGCCGGGAAGCGGAGCGGCTGCTGCGCCCGTGCCCGGTGAGGGAGCGGGGTCCGTGCCGCGGGCGGGGCGGGCAGCGGGAGGCGGTGGCGGGCACCGTGGGGTCGGGGCTTTGCGGACTCTTCAGGACGTGGCGTTCCCCAGGGCTTCTCTTGGCGGCCGTGGCGAGGCAGGGGGGAGAGAGGGACCCCGGCGGGCGTAGGCCTGGCTGCTTGAGGGGCTTCTCGCCCCGGGAGGGCCTCGCTGAGGGAACGTCTGTCCGCCAGTGCTGCCACCCCAGGCCCTGGCGGGTGTAGGTCTTGGGCCGGAGGTCGGACTAGGACGGCAGCGTCATTCTCTCCCCGGGGCACGGGGTGGCGGTGCCGGGACCCCGGCGCTGCCCTGGGAGGGCTGCCTGGCTCTGCCGCCCTTTTGCCGACGTTGCCGGCCTGCATTGGGGAGCCCCTTCGTCCGGCGGGTTGGGGCACCTGCCGGACCCCTGGCTGGGTCCCCTATTTCCCCCATCTCTGCATCTCTTACTCCCGTTGTCCCCAGCAGTATTTGCCCCTGCTACCTTTTCCAGGCTCCGTGTGGCTTTGATAAACCTCGAAACCTTTGGGCTCTGGGGATTCGCTCCCGTCAGAGGCTTTGTTTTCCGGCAGTCGGTCCGTAACGCAGCGCTCTCAAGCCTTCTTATTTAGCTCCTCTGAAGAGCGCGTCCCACTCCGTCCTGGGGCCCCTCTAGTTCACGCTGCAGTCTCTTTGCGAGGCTTCGCTGCCTTTGTCTCGTCAGGATACAGCCGTACCTTGAAGTAATGTTTCCCAGTGATAAAGCATGACTGTAGCTGGAGGTTTATACTGAACTGTATTCTCTCTTGTAAACACAGCAGAATGGCAGCGCTGGTTCCACTGCTCTTATTTTGGAAACACGGACAAGTTCCAGCCGTTACACCTCCTGCTTCCAAAGAGGGTGTCTTTGACCTTGTATAGCAATAGTATCCAGATATAAGCAGAAAGTGTTTGAGGGTGCCTTTAGTAGTTCTGATAGCCAAGAATTCAGCTGTAACTTGTGATGTTAAATGGCAAGTAGAACTTCAGATCTGTGTGTGATGCAGAGGGAAAGGCAGGTGTAGCACTTGAGATATCTGTTATCATTTTGTGTCGTCCTTTACCCTTGAAGCTTCAGAAAATATCCCAGCAAAACTTATCTATAGTTTAGTTACAGGCAAAGAAGTCAGAAACCAGGGTAGTTTAGACCATATTTTCCCAATATATTATTACTTATTTTAGTGAGTTTCTCATAATTTTGTTTGGTGTCTGCTACCCTAACACTCATCCTTTTCAAAGGGAAAAGGAGAGAAATACAGTCTTGTAAGGCGAAGTCACTTTTGAGGGTATGACAGTAGATCCAGCTCTGCTTGCTTGTATTTACCTGAAATAAGGCATAGATGTTTAAAAATGAAATATGAACTGCAGACTTAGATTCTGAGGATTGTAGTGCTTTAAAAAAAAAAAGTTAAAAAAAACCCCGAAACAAAACAAAAAAATACAACCCAAACCTACAAAAACCCAACAACCAAATTGAAACTCTTTTCTCTCACAGCTTAAGTCCAGAGCAGTTCTGGTGTAATGCCAGTTACATTGCTCTTTGCTACAGCCATTTGAATCTAAACTTGCTCTAGTGTGCGTTGTTAGTTGTGGTGTCTGACAGTTTTAATTAGTGTACTGAGCACATTCACCCTCAGCGATCAGTGAAATAATATGTAGCATTCTGATCCAAAGTGAATTTTCTTGTCTTCAAAGGAAAGACTTGATACAGTGCATGTGCAAGATGATGTTGTAGTGGGAAATAACTGAGACTTCCGAGTGCTAACTTTGAAAGCTTCTTACAGATTAAACAGTTTCTTTGGGGCTTAAGAGAGATTGAGGAGATTATTTACATGAATTTATTAGTTAAGTGGCATCACCTCGATTTCCTCCCTCGATTTTCTCTCCACCTTTAAGGTTCTGTTTCTTCTGTGGTGGAACAGATGTGAAATATGAAGTTGTTGTGTTTCTTTGTTTCTGAGTTTCAAAATGGTTTGGGAAAGTTAACTACAGAACAAATAAGACAGGTAGTAATGTAGCATGATATTTCTCTTGTAGAGTTGAAATTAATGGTTGTTATTGCTTGTTAAGGCAAAGCTCGCCTTAGCATTGCTTGAAAAATATTTCATGAGAGGTGTAGAAAATCAATTAATGTTCTTCTGTTGTAGAGCATATGCAATGGATAAGTGGCTTCTCAACAGCATTATCAGTGGATAGCATCTAAATGAACATATTTTGTAAATTTAAGCTGTTTAAACCAAGTGGTAAATCTGTTCAACCATAGTAAAGTGTTTTTCATGATGTTTTTCAGTTGTTTTCTGCTTAAAAGCAAGGAAAAGAGTCTGTATGGTTAGAGCAGAGGATAAACCCCTTGCAAATGGTAATGGTGAAACTTCTGGGCGTGCTGTTTATTGTGAAGCCTTTCTGTTTGGCTAGCCAGTAATGTTCCGGTAATGTTCTAATTCTTGTCAGTCTGCTGCACTTACATGTAATTGAAGGAACTACTTTGTGCCCTTACACCTAAGGAAAGTGAATACGTGTGTATAACCTAGAGGAGAGTATTTGTCTCAGTTGCTGCCTATAACTGTACTTTGGCCAGCTGTAGAAGCACTTTGAAGTGTGTGGTTACCTCAGAAGACGAAACAGACAAGCCATGATTATAGTCTAGGTTGGGAGGGTTCTGTTTTTTCTAGATACTTACTTTTTACTGTCTCATAAATTGAGTATTTTTAACAATTTTATGCAGTCCTTCTTGGGTTTGGTTTGACTGTTAGATGAGCTAATTCTGTGTCTGCAGTTTGGAGAGGGAAAGGTAGTTTTTCTTCTTCATTCCTCTTATCTGTTCATCCCTCTTTTCTGAAGAATAAAGCAATATGGACTTGAACATTTTCTGTAAGAGACTGGCATTCTGGCTTTACTTGCTGTAGTGCAGAGTTGCTGCAGTTGAAGGTTTGATCTTTTTCTTCATAATAATTGGAAATTACACTCAATAGAAATGACAGGATTGTGACAAATTGGGAAAGAGTATTTTAAAGCAGCCAAGGCCCTATTTTGTATGACCAGCTCTTCAGTTATGCTGGCAATTTCTGCTTTTACTATACACAGGCATAGAACGAACTTCCTGGTAAAACATCAAGGGTGGATTTTTTACCCCCCTCTCTGAGGAAACGCGATACTAGATCTTGTTATGCTGGTTATTCAAATCATTTTTTAAACTTGGCAGTATGTTAATATGCTGCTCTCTCTTTTTTAAGTTTTATTACAGTCCTCCCATTTAGAAACTGATAATGCCTGCTTTCCACCCACCTGCCTGAGCTATTCTAAACCATGCTGGTAGGAGAGACCTATTGTTTCAGGCATGAGAAGAACTACTTGCATGTTTGCATTTAGATCATTGATTTTTGAAGTTCAGAGTTTAGACTCAAATGGTATTGTTGGTAAGCAGGAAAAGGTCTGTTTTTAGGCATCAGGTGGATTGCTAAAGTTTTATTGTGTGGAACCTTTTCTAATCAAGAAGAAGTGAAACTTGGGTGACTTACCTTTTACCCAGAATGTGCAGATCTTGTATTTGGACTTGGGTAGATGATTGTATAGAAGCTGGAGCTTTCAAGAAGAGGTTGTTAATATTATCCTGTATGAAATCTTTATGCTCTGTTTTCTGTTCTTTAGAGGCCTAGTTTTTTTTGTCAAGGGTAGCCTTTCAGTAGACTTTTTCTCTCTTAGTATTATCTTGATACGTGGAAAGATCTGTTAAGGTTTAAAGCAATCTTGAATAGAAAAAGACATAGTAAAGGCAGGTTTATAATCTGGCTCTCTTTTATTCATTTATTCATCAAGTGGATAGCCATTTGCAGTGAAATATCCATCAAGAATATAATTTGTGACTGGGAGCATGTTCATTTACTTAAAAATAAAATGAGCTCTTTGATTCCTTCAGTTTCACTTGATTGTGATGGATCTTTTGCCAGTGCAAGTAATTTGTAAGTGGTTACTACCCTTTTTAGTTTTGTCTTGTCCGTTGCAGTGAGAAAAGCTAACAAAGACTGGGTGCTGAGCAAGCTGAAGAAGAAGTGCTGAGACATGGAAGAGCAGATTGTGTTAATTTTTAACATACTTTTGGTAGTAACCATTCTAGTGCCTGCCCCTATCTCCAGTGTTGTCTTTTAATTATATATTAATAATCATTACTCTTGCTTGACAGTTTGAGTGCTCAGATATCCAAATACTATTTCTTCACCACTGGTTTCATAAACATTTGAATGGATTAAGACCTGCTCCAAATACTGCATTTGTATGTACTTTTCTGACACCTTGGATCTTGCTCTGCCACTGCCATGAGCTGCTCTTCATTTATTTGCAGAGCGTCTGTCTGGAGCGAGCTGATTCTTTAGAAGGATTCCTCAACTTTAAAGGGTTTTTACTTTGGCTTGTCAGAGTTGAACTAATTGACCATTGGATCACTGATTAAATTCTCTTCACTCTGTAAGTGCCTCGTGTTTATATGTATGTGTGTATTTCCTACTGCTGTAAATACATAATTTCAGAGACTAGATAAGAAATACTGAGATTAATATATAAAAATGCTCATGAGATGGTAATGTGCTTGGTCTGATCTTTAACAAGGCTTACTAACCTTTGTAAAAGTAGGGAGCTGCATATTTTCACTAGGTTTTACCTGTAGTTGGACACCTGTTACTGTCTCTTCAAGTTATGACCTCCTGGGGTGATCTTGCATATGAAGGGCATTTCACTCTAGAAAGGAAGTGAGGAAAAAGAAAATACGGGAGCTTAAAAGGTAAAAAGTAACAGTGTGACACTGGCTTCTTTTCTGTGTAAGGATAGAAAGGCTGCTTCTGTTCTTCAGTGTACACAATTCATCCAGGGCACGTGTTATCATCAATGACGTAGTCCTCAAAGCAGCTTCTTATTCCAGCTGTTTGAAAGGGAAGAATAAGTATGATGATAACAGGAA